AACAACAGACCCTTTAACTTTATTACATGTGGAACCTGGAAGATAACTTGATGCAAAGCAGACAATTTTTATTCTATTGCTGTTCTTTCCAATTTGATTTTTTTCTACTTCCTAAAATTAAAGTCCTCTGAAAACCTCAAAGATTTATCTTCCTCAAAGATATCATTTGCTTCAAAATACTCCAAGTTTTCATCCTGTATACTGTATTCCAAATCCATGTACACAACTCTTATGCACTGGGTTTTTTTTCAATTACATGCTTACTTTCTGTATTGCTTTCTGGGTGACTCACTGGGTTGCTTCACCTCTCTGCCCTTCCTTAAAAGTCATCTGAGCTTGGATGCTGAAGCTGGCATCACTTCTTTTTCCTTTATTTGCATCCACTAAGCATTTACATAATCTCCAAGTACTGGTAATGTTTTAGTACAGATTCACTCATTTCCTGTGACTCTTCAAGTTAAAGATCCTAGTTCAGGTTCATTTTCTGAGTTATTGCTGGATCCTGTGATTTTCTCACTATGAATATCTCTACCACACACTAAAAAACAACTACTTAAATCAATGGCTTTAAAGTACAGTTTTCTTTTCAGGTACAAATTGGGTTCTATTTACTCAATAAAGCAGCTCCAGTAACATCTATTATAATTATTATCTACATTCTCTTGTATTATCCAGTAGCTCTAAAAATACTTATATGAGAATGGGGATTTTGTTCTTAATATTTCCTACCTGGGATTACAGGTATTATGCCACCAACATGTCCATCTTATGCCTAAGAAAACTTTTTGAGTGTTAAATGCCAGGTATGAGACAGGATTGGGAGTACAAAGCCAGCCTGGTCTATATAGTAAATCAAAACAAAACAAACAAACAATAAAAAACAATACCCATCCCCCAAAAATATTTAAGAAGCTGATGAGTAAGTGATGAGGAGGATTATGAATATATTATTGGTAAATAGATACATTCAAAATATACATTAATATAACTTTTCAAATTTATGGAAACTCTCAGCTTATTTAGTAAATACACAGAATACTTACTTTGGCCCAATAAATAGAAAAGAGAAAGTTGCAAGCAAGCCAGGAAGTCAGGGACTAACTGATTCCCAGCACAGATAAAACCAGTCATTTTAAACAAAATTAAGCTCCTTTACCCTTATTTTCTCTCTTTCTAAATAATTCCAAATTCTGCTTAACTCTTCCTCTCACTTTCAATATTTCTACTGCTATTTTTTGTTAACAAACTGGATTCATACCAAATACAAAGTTGAAATCTCAACTATGTGGCTTTGCCTGTAACAATCTCTGACCCTTCCTTTCCCTTTTCTTATTAGAATCTCAGGATTGCTTTGGGAATTAAACTATAACACACAAAAAAGCATTGGCAAAGAGGATGTTTCCAAGGATGGCTATCTTCACCTATAAATTATATTCTCTAACCTCTGTGCTATTTTGCTAAAGTAGTTTCTCTTATTGGTGATTTTACTTTTCATAGTTTAAGTTACCCACGGTCAACTGTAGTCCAAAACTATGAAATGCAAAATTCCAGGAATAACTCTCAAGTTTAAGTGTGTGCTGTTATGTGTAGCATAGTGAAAGCTCAAGCTGCCTCACCTGGTCCAGTGTGTACATGCTATACATGACTGCTACTGTTAGTTACCAAATGAACTGCCATGCTACCAAAGTGCTGTCTATAGGTAGCCTGTATTTTACTAACTGTTCCCAAGACACTAATGTAGTAAGGTTGGAAAGTCCAATATGCCATAAAATACTTCATGTAAGTGAAAAGGTGAAAGTTCTTAACATTACAAGGGTAAAAAAGTCCTATGCTGGGCTGGAGAGATGGCCCAGAGGTTAAGAATGGGTATTAACTCTTTCTGAGAAGCATCTGAATTTGATTCCTTGCACCTATTACATCAAGTGACTCACAACTGCCTGTAACTCCAGCCCTGGGGATCCAATGCCTCTGGTCTCCACTGCCACCCCCAAACACACATATATACTCATGATTCTTTAAAGAATTTGTAGGCTGAGACTGCTAAGAAATCAATAGGGTTAAAGAGATGGCTCAGTGGTTAGAACACTTATCTTGCAGAGGATCTAGTTTCAATTCCCAGCACCCACACTGCAGCTCACAACCATCCAGTTCTAGAGGATCCAGTGTCCTCTTCTGACCTCAGCAGGCACAGGCATGAACAGGATGCACAGACATACATGCAGGCAAAACACTGAAACACGTTAAAATGAATTAAATAAATCTTTAAATTAAAAAAAAAAAAAAACACCTCAATAGAGTAACAGCTTAGCTTAATCTGGGAAATTGTAAGGGAAAGTATAATGTATGCTGGTTTTGCCAAACAGCCATGATACATCAAAACGCTTAGTTATGGCAGAAAAGGCATTAAATTGATAAGTAGAAGCCATAAAGAGGAAGTGTTCTGATTGTTACAACTTTAGTCACTATCATTAACCTCCTACTGTGCCTAATTAAAAACTATATGCTTTTATACAAGAAAGAACATTCTGTATACAGGACTTAAGACTAGCAGTGACCTTTAGCAGAGGTCTTAGAATACATTTCTCCAGAAAGAGGAACCACTGCAAACTATAGGTGAATACCAGTTCTATTTCCCAAAGAGAGCTAACTACTTTGTAAATTTTTTTTTACCTGCATAGGTAAATACAAAGGCTGTATTTATATTATCTATTCTAGCAGCCTATTATTCACAAAAATTTCCACTAGCTCAAATTAAACAAAACAAAAAACACAACATACACCTCTTTCTCAAACAAGCCATTGCTTCTGCTTTTTCCAGAGATACTCTAGATTATCTCATCATTAACCTCAAAATCAAGACTCTAGCAGCATGCACAATACTGTTACATATTTCTCCTAGTTTTACAGATATAAGCTTCAAAGCACTAGGTTTATTTCTAAACTCTAATCTTTTTCAGATAAGATGTAACAAATGTCTGTACAGAGTCCCAGGACATAATCATTTCAATCTAATATAACAAAAGCTTTGTATAATTTTTTTTTTTTTACATAGGCTCCTTCATTTCTGTTTTCAGTACTGGCTGGCTCTCTTGAAAACAAACAAAACAAACAAATCAAGAAGACTATATAGTGCCAAATGAAGAAATCAGACTCTTAGAACCAACTGAGTTATAAAACAGAAATACTTTCCCCATCTGGAGAGATGGCACACTGAGGCAGGTGAACAATAGGACACAGGTGGAGTCCAAGGGCTCCCTGGACAGCTAATCTGGGTAACCACAGAGACATCCAGGGAGAGAGACTTTGTTTCAAATTACAAAGTGGACAGCAACAGAGGAAGATATCCAAAGTCAACCCTCTGGCCTCCATATGTGATACACACATAAGTGAGTAAACCTCTACACACATGTATATGCCCCTCCCACACAGAAATATTCAAGTTAAAAAGCCAACTAAAAAAACTGCAAAAGTACAATTTAAATGATAAATTATTTCATGTCTTATTGACACAGTATTTTGTCCTTATATATTAACAAAGAACTCTCAATCATATTTTGATAACATACTATAACTGTTACTTAGCAGAGAAAGGTTCTATTCCCAATTATAATATGAAAAAACAACTGTTTCTCCTTCTCTTCTACCACAATTCCTATTAAATGATTTGCTCAATAGTCAGCATCCACGACATACATACATAAACGCAAACACATGGAATTTTAACATCAATTCCATCTATAGGCTACTCTTGACAATGCTGCTTTATTCTGCAATCTTTCAAAACCAGTAAATTTCAAAACAACCTTTTCATTAATTTAACAAAATATACTACTGTGGATAGTAGCAGCAACAATTTTTTCATGGTGAAAACAAGAAAAAGATGTCACTAATATATGTAAGAAGTTCTTAAACCACAACATGGCACTCAGATGTTAAAAGCTACTTTTCCACCATAAGCAGTAAAATAGTAGTAGACAGAGAAGATACATGGTCATCTTCAGCAACTGGAATAAAGGCAGGAACAAATAACCAAAACTTTCAGAAAAGGGGAAGCAAAACAAACCATAATATCAACTGACAAGTAACTGGTCTAAGTTACATTTACTACAATAATATGAAGAGGTGAAACAGCAACAGGAGCATGTATGCACCATTCATAGGACAGTGGAAGGATAAGAAAAAAGCAAGAGATTTTCAAGTTATAAAAATTAGGAAAAGAAAAAGCGTTTGTTCAATATAAATCATGTTATTTCAGCAGTTCAGAAATAATACTAGGGCTGTGGACTACAGTGATGACCATGGAGATTAAAAAAAAATCAATTGGAGTAATTAATAGAAGTTTGCCAATAAACTATAGTATAAAGTAGAAAGAAGAAATAAGAATGTTTCCTAGGCTTTGCAACAGAAAACTGTGGCAAACAGGATACCAGAAAAACAAGGTAAGGCTGTAAAACCAGTACTGAGTTTTCAGTAACTGAAAATTTTTCCAGAGCAAAATTCTTTCTTTCCCTTTCTCTCTCTCTAAGACAATAAAACAGAAACCCAAAGTTTAAGTTAATTTCCAAATAATGATAAATACCTGGCACTCATAGCCAGGTATTTATAAAGAAACATTTACAAATATAAACTTCTGAGTCTTAAGTCTACATAAGTTATCTTTTTTGTACCACAAATGACTTCTATTTCTTGAATTACCATACACTTTATATTTAAGATAAACATAACAATTTGAAACCAAGTAAATTCTTCTGTCTATATATATACATAAGAGAATGTGTATTGGAATATAAGATTTCTTAATAGGCTAATCAACACACCAGAAACAGTATAAACTGAAACGCCAACTACTATCAACTACTATCAAATCTTTTAAAAGAAGGAAATCAAATTTTCCTTTCCCTGCAAATCCACCAATAAAATGACTAAAATGACTCTTTTTTTTTTTTTTTTTAAGAAACTAAAATACCACACTAGACATGTTTCCCAAGCTTCTTGGTTACCTTTACTTTATCTCTTCTCAAGCAACAGAACAGACAATTTTCATCAAAAGCCCAATCAGAAATGCTTTCAGGTTCACACTCTGCAAAAGTAAGAAAAACAAGTTTTAATACTTATAAAACAGAATTTTTCAGAAAACAAGTCAGAGTTAACTTCAAAATATGTAGTTTAATAAAATCCTCATTAAAACTAGATGTTTCACATTTATCTCTAAAGTCGTGTTTTAAGCAAACTCAGAATTTCACAAACAGGAAAATGTGTGCTCTACTACTACAGCCATCCCTTGAAATTCTTTCTACTATGTCCTCCCAGCCACTTCTATTTTAAAATTCTAAAAAGAAAATTCTTCACTCAATTTCTAGCTGCTCATTAGTTAATTATGCTACCTATACATACACTAACAGTATACACGAAACACAAACATGCTGATATGAATGCAATTTAACCCTCACTACACTGAGTAAAGAGATAAATTCCCAAGGTGTTAACCACAAAGACTGTGAATACCAGAAATATTTTGAATACCTTTATATAAACTGAGATCTTTTAATAACGCAGGTCCAAACAGCCCTTCAAGAATATTTTCAAATCCTGAAAGGATTAAAAAAAAAAAAAAAAAAGAGTAAATAAAATCCATCATCACAATATTCACTGAAAAATATTGCTTTCTTCTGGTTCTCAGATCTAAATAGGGGTGTCTGCATTTGTGTTAATGATTAACCCAACAAAAATTCAAAGTACATCCAATAACAAAGCAAAAACAAATAGAAACTTGAAACAACCAATGAAAAATATGGAAATTTGTGGTCTCTAGTTGTTCAACAAAACATTATAGAAATTAGCATCCTAAAAAGTGCCTTCCCAATGAAGTATTATGCTTCACAACTTCCATAAACTTTCTAGAATAATCTAAATAGTCCCCCTCTTTTATGCACAAATTTCTCTCAGGTCGATAGTTTTCTAAAGACAATACTCAAAACAGTTTCCTCACCCCTCACAATAGTTTAGAAGGAAAAGGCCTATATTACTTTACAACACAATATTAACTACTTGATGGTTCCTTTTTAAAGGTAAAACTCACTAAGTACATAAAGAGAAAAGAATGAGAAAAAAAATCACACAGCTGTACAAAACTGTTTAAAATTATTGTATCCTTTACCAGTGTGAAAGAAAAAGAAAACCAAGTTTTCTGACTACATCAAACATTGCCATGTACTTAATGAAAGACAGTTTAAATGTCTTGCTTGCTGTTGTGGGTTGTTAAGAAAGAGAAAAACCTAAATTACTAGAATCTGCAGTGGCTTTAAAAAAAAAAAGAAAGAAAGAAAGAAATTGTCAAGGAGCTCACTATAAAGTTCAAATACTTATTGCAAAGGATCTGAGACTTCAAATGCTCTTTAACTGTGACCTTTAGAAAGAATTAATGTCACGCACATTCGGTACACATTATTACTTTTCAAATATATAGAAATATCAAAGAATTTAGAAAGCAAAAGAGGACAGAAAAGATGGCCTTTAAGGGCTGGAGAGATGGCTCAGCTTCTCCTCCAGAGGACCAGGGTTGATTCCCAGCATCTGTACGTGGGCTCTTAACTGTCACTTAGTAACACAAGACCCAGGGGAGCCAATGTCCTTCTTGGCCTCCAAAGGCACTGCATGCACATAATACACAGATACACAGGCAGGCAAAGTACAAGTACAATTAAAATTAAAAGAAAAAAAAGCACTATTTTTGTTCAACTGACAATAAAAATAACATTGCAATTCAAATGTTTTTACCCTACTTCCTATTAAGTACAGTAAATGCTGAAATTTATAGTGTTCACAGGGTTGATTTTTATATTATTTGAAACTGTAACTTTTTGTTTCATTATTAGAAAGCATTTATTTTTCAAATTTATTTCTTGATATCAAAATATTCCAAAAGTATTAGCAAAATTAAATTACTCACTAATCAAAGAGCTGCTTGTTATTTACCTAATGTAATTAATTTCTGTGTCTAACATTAGAAAAGAACAAAGGACTTGAGTAGGGGCTGTGGAGGTAGAGAGATATAATAATGAGGATTAATGGCTAGATATTATCTATCTTTGACCCTGGAAACTATATATTCTCATTAACATCTAACCTCTGCTCCTTTAAGTAAATCTCAAAAACCAGTCTCCAACTGTTAAGTCCTCTTACTTTACAGAAAGGAATTTTTATTTTTATGAGTGAAAGCATTTCAGTATCTTAAAAAGTATTAAACTAAAAACCCAGCTAATGAAAATTCTTTCATAAAGAATATATCTAATATTTTCACCTGGGTTTATACAAACTAATCACAAATTCCAAATTTCCATAGTAAGCAAAGCTTTATTTTTGAGATAAGGTTTCTGTGTATAGGCCAGGAAGAGAATGCTCTCGGACCCACCTGTCTCAGTCCGAAGAGTACTATGGTTATAACTGTGGCCAGCATGCCATGGCAGTGCTCTAAGCCTCAATTTTCAGAAAGAAAAAATGTAAATACAGCCAAGAAATACTAGGAAAGTAGAAAGGAAGGAAGTCAACAGCTTTGTGAGATGATAATTGAAAACTTACAAAGAATAAAATCTGAAATAGTTCAACTGAGGAAGAATATCAGTAACCATTAGCCAAAAAAAACAAAAAAAAAACAAAAAAAAATCAGATCAAAAAGCGGGGAGTGGGAGGGGCTAGGCAGTGGTGGTACGCTCCTTTAAACCCCCTCCCCCCAAAAAAGCCAACAAACAAAAAGAGCGGTGTGGGGGGGTGGGAAGCACTCGCTGAATATGATGCATGCCTATAACCAGCACTCAAGAGGCTAGTGAGAAGTAATGCCACAAGTTCAGAGCTATACTACAGAGCAAATTCCACTCCCAAACTGAGCTACTAAGTGAAGTTCCTGTATTAGGGGAGGACAATGAAAACAGACAAAAATAAGTCAGCAGTCAACAACGTAACAACAACAAAGCTAGTCACAAAATATCTGGCCACAACTAATTTTGTTCTAAATAATAACCATATACAAGTTATTTCTCTTCTGTTCACACCTGCCACAACACATTGAACTTTACACATATGTACTGCATACCATAAACCCACATTTTGCTGTTCTCTGTTCACTGATGCTAACACTATTCAGTTTTACTAATAATAAATACTGAATTTATCAGTCGCATAGCAACACAGAATTATCTTACATGCTATCCTTGACATTAACAAAAGGCAAGTAAGAACAAAGACACTCAAAACTTCATACCATGGTTTCACAGAAAAGCCATGAGAATGGTAACAAAATTCCACAAAGAATAAATACTGGGCTCCCCAGCCAAGATGATCTTGTTTGGGAGCCTTCCCATACCTAAGGCAGGAAGATTGTAGCTGCAAAGAAGATGAAAAAAGTCTCTGGAGTTGATCAACTCTAGGCTCCAACTTGTTAGAAAAGTGGAAAGTATGTGCTGGAGTACACACAGACACTGAGAATGGTCAGGCAGGGCTGCGTGAAATTGGTTATCCTCTCCAACAGCTGCCCAGTTTTGAGGAAATCTGAAATATGATATTACGCCATGTTTGCCAAAACTGGTGTCCATCACTACAGTGGCAATAATATTGAATTGGGCACAGCATGAGGAAAATAATATAGAGTATGCATACTGGCTATCATTGACCCAGGTGGTTCTGACATTACTAGAAACATGCCAGAACAGACTGGTGAAAAATAAACCAGGCGAGTTTTCCTTTAATAAAACATTACCAGTACTCCTTTTTTAAAAAAAAAAAAGCCTGTTAACTCCAACTGTGTGCTTGTGCCATCCCAGTAAGTTTCAGAAGGCTCCAACTATGGACCACTAGCAAGGAAGATCTTTAAAAGGAGTTTTAGCGGTTGAATTTGTAGGTGTTTGAGGGCTTATTTTTTGTTTGAAAAGATGAACTCAAGCCAAGATTTCAGACAAATAATGAGCAAGACATTTCCCTTCCTACATATCCACTGAACAGCCTGAAATGTATAGAGTTAGAGAGAAAACTCAAGAAAAATGGTTGGACAGCAAAAATTAAGGATTTGGTCACTAATCAGAGTTTATTCTTATAAGAAACATGGAATCACTCAGGATTAAAATTCTTTCTACAGCTGACATGGATGGGGTTTGTATTACTTGAAGCAAAATATAAACTGTAATTCAGGTCTTACTCTATGGGCTTAAAAAAGTTGACTGAAGTTATCCTTATTGCATTATCAATAAACTTTATTTATGCTACTGAAAAAAAACACTGAATAGACAAGCCATGCAATCATATTCAATTACTATGATTTTAAAAGTTCCTTTATGTAAACTATTATACATTTTAAAACCTGTCTCAGCGGATTTGACTACTTTCCAAGAAGTCCTAATCAACATCACAACTGGTCTCGAACCCAGTCTCCAAGTCTATTCACTACGACTTACAGTGTCTTCAGAGTCTATTTAAAACATCAAGCCAGTAATAATGAATTGCTTCTTTACAGCTCACACTGCCATAAGAAAGAAGAACAAACAAGCCCTCCCTGCAACCCACTTCCAGCAATAAAATTATTTTATAATCTGAAACAATCTCCTTTTTCTAGGGCATTTCATAGCACAGTTCTGGTCAGATTGTTTTGTTTCTAATTTTAAACTGTGATCAATAATCCTTTCTCTTTACTAATATTTTCTCATCTTTGTATTTCACTCTTGCTCAAATAAAAGTATCTTTCTCCTTTAAAGTATTCTTCAAAATAAAGTTATTTTCTTAACCAAAATATATTAACTGAGAACCTACAGTGGCCCGCAGCAGAACCTGAATTACAACAGTGAGCAAACACAATGTCAGGTGCTCTCCTGGAGCTTTGGTTTCTACTGTTCTCACCCTCAGATTACTCCGATCCTTTCCCCTTTTAAACAGAAAAGCCAATTGCCAAAATCCTGTTTTCATATGTGCAAGCCATATAAAACACTGCACACCTATTTTGTAAAACAAAAATTGTTGCAAGCTATCTAAATCCTCTGGATCGATCTTTCTTTTCCTGTGTTTTTACCTTTCTTCCCAATTAAAGTTAATGTTCCAGAGGTCTTAGGAAGCTTTTTCATTTCCTACAATGCTCTTAAACTACAGGTTCATAAACTTCATTTTTAGGCTCTGATTTCCTCACATAATTCTAGAAAACAAGACAACCTAACATTTCCCACAAATTCTTCCCTTCGATCTGAATCACAATCTCTATTATTTTTATTTCTAACCAAAGGATAAATTATGTAAATTATGAAAAATAATATGGCAAGAACATATCAAATACACAGCCAATTAAGGTCAGCAATGATCACTTGTTTGCTTTTAAATAAGTATCAATCTTGAAAATATTTTACTAAAATGAAAAGGGCCAGGAGATGCAACACCTGTGAACAATATAAATGTAGGTGGTTCTCATTAAATGTGAGACTGTACAAATCATCCTTCATGGAGTGTCTCTGTATACTGAGACTAGACTGGAGAGATGGTTCAGTGGTTAGAAGTACTTGCTGCTCTTGTAGACTCCAGATTCAGTTCCTGGCACCCACTCTGAGGCTTACAACTGT